AATGGCATGGACCAGATCTTCAACAGAATTGTGGAAGAAAATTTCCCAAACTTAAAGAAAGACATGCCCATACAAATACAAGAAGCATACAGAACACCAAACAGACATGACCAGAACAGGAACTCTCCACGGCACATCGTAGTAAAAACACTACACGCACAAAACAAAGAGAAAATTCTGAAAGCTGCAAAAGAGAAACAACAAGTCACATATAAAGGAAAACCCATTAGGATCACAGCTGACTTTTCAATGCAAACTATGAAAGCCAGAAGAGCCTGGACCAAAGTATTCCCAGTGTTAAATGACCACAGATGCCAACCCAGATTACTATATCCAGCCAAAATGTCTATTATAGTTGAAGGGGAAAGAAAAATCTTCCATGACATAAATAGGCTGAAGGAATTCTTGTCCACAAAACCAGCCCTTCAGAGAGTTCTGGGAGCAATACAAAGAGCTGAAGAAAGGAATGACTATACCCAAGGGGTTGCAGAAAGAACTCCAAGGAGGGTATAACAGTGTAAAAGTACAGCTATAGCAAGAATATACAGAAATAAAAATGACAGGATTCAATACTCATCTTTCATTGATAACTTTAAATATTAATGGACTGAACTCCCCAGTCAAAAGATAGAGACTAGGTGAATGGGTTAAGAAATGAAACCCATCTTTTGTTGTCTGCAAGAAACCCATCTCACTTTCAAGGACAAACACTACCTTAAAGTGAAAGGATGGAAAAAAAAGTATAACAAGCAAATGGCACTAAGAAAAATGCAGGTGTAGCAAGTCTAATATCTGACAAAATAGACTTAAACTAATCAGAAAAGATAAAGAGGACCACTTCGTTCTGATCAAAGGAACAATAAATCAAGATATTACAATCATGGACATATATTCACCAAACACTGGTGCACTCAACTTCATAAAAACAATACTACAGGACTTTAAGACCCAGATTAATCCCAACTCATGAATAGTAGGGGACTTCAATACCCCACTGTCTCCATTAGATAAGTCAACAGGGCAGAGAGTTAACAGAGAGACATC